AGTCTTGAAAGGTGAGTGGAAGTTGGCCAGGTGAACGAGGGGAAGGGCATTTATAAGCAGAGGGAATGGCATGGTTCGTGAAGGCGCCTGGCACATTTGAAAAACAGGGAACAGGGGTGTAGAACTACAGCCCCCAGGGCCTAGATCAGCAGTGGGCAAACTTTTTGACTCAAGGGCTACAATGGGTTCTTAAACTGGACCGGAGGGCCGGAACAAAAGCATGGATGGAGTGTTTGTGTGAACTAATATAAATTCAAAGTAAACATCATTACATAAAAGGGTATGGTCTTTTTTTTTTTTAGTTTTATTCATTTCAAACGGGCCGGATCTGGCCCTTGGGCCGTAGTTTGCCCACAGCTGGGATTGAACCTGCATCCAAGGTATATGCCCTTGGCTGGGAATCAAACCCAAGACCCTTTCATCCACAGGCTGGCGCTCTAACCACTGAGAAAACTGGTCAGGGAGAAAAGCATTTTTGAAAGGGAATAAATAGGTAATATTTGGTAAACACTGGATGTGGAGGCTGAAGAGGAGAGAGAAGTAGATTAGACTTTGGCGTTGCTCAGTACCAGGGAGACTGGTGAGATGGTGGTACTGTTAATTGAGGGGTGAGAAGCTGGGGTCAGGATGGGTTCTCTATTTTGGTGTACCTCCAACTAATGAGTGGCCATTGACTTTGGCACAGGTGGTCAGTGACCAAACAAGAAGACAGGATGTCAGCAAATGAAAAAGTACAGGAAGCCCATCCCAGAATGAGACCACTGAGCCCTTAATTTTCATGCTTTGGTTCAAGGTATCATTCAATTCAACAAAATTTCAAAGCTGTTGTCTACAATATGTCTGATCTACTGCAAACCTCTTTTTTTTTTGGCTATTCTCGTATCATTCCAGTCATAAGAATGCAAAGAATGAGAACTCTGGAGCCAGATTATCTGGGCAAATTACCTCAAACAAGTCACTTAACCTCTCTGTGCCTTAGTTTACTAATCTGCAAAATAGGCATGAAAATTCTTGCCCAGCCGGTGTGACTCAGTGGTTGAGCATCGACCCATACACAAAGAAGTTACCAGTTCAATTCCTGGTCAGGGCACATGCCCAGGTTGCAGGCTCAATCCCCAGTGGGAGGCAGGAGGCAGCTGATCAGTGATTCTCTCTCATCATTTTTTTTTCTTTTTTTTTTTAAATTTAAATCTTTATTGTTCAGATTATTACATTTGTTCCTCTTTTTTCCCCCATAACTCCCCTCCTCCAAGTTCCCGCCCCACCCCGCCCTCACTCCCCACCCCCCGTCCCACCCCAGAG